TCATCTGAGCAAGTAAATACGCTTTCAAGAAGCCTTAGAAATTAAAATACTTTGGCTATATGAAAATTTACGGGAACATGAGTTTATTAATTTAGATTAATAACAAAAACAAAATTCAACCGCCTGAAATGCAAAGCGAAAATTCAACTTTGTGTAACCTAATATAAACATTATAAGACTACGTATGTACGCATATCTCTTTCAAAGCATCTTCTCTGACAATAATTGAAAATTTGGATGGCTTATCAGTTCGGAAAATGTCAGCAGATCGGGTTCTAAGCATTTTTAAACCTTTTTCGATAATTTTTGCTTACATCTACGGGCTACTTGTAGGCTGACTTACGGGTGACTCGTGGGTTTGACCCACCTGTTTTTACCCGGGCTGCCACAATCTATCACAGTTCATCCGTCTACCTACAGGTATTCCGGGTGGCACCCACTCGGGTCCAATCACTGCTTCTGAAAAATATGTTAGCATGCTAACTTCTCTAAAATAAAAGTAGATTTTGATTATTTTCCATTGTAGAGTCTACAACCCTAATGAAACTTTCTACATACACTTTTTTTATTTATTTATTCTTTGTAGTTTTATTTATTTCTATTCATTTACAATGCCTTTCGCCTTTACGATTCAGAAGTATTTTAATAAACAAGTGATTTCTTAACTGTTGGGCTTCCGAATCATTAACCGTAAAGCTGTTGTTTGATACTTTGGAACGAAAAAAATAAGCTCAAATGTGTCAAATTACACGAATAAGGAGAAAGAAAAAGTAATTATAAACAAAAAAAAAGTTTATTAAATAGTTTGTTTAAAAGAGTGACGCACGGATTGTTGCGTCAGATCCGTACGATAACTATAATTTATTGGGTTTTATAAAAGGGTTTAAACGGGTACTACTCCACCAATAGCGTGAATTATATCTAATGGTATAGCTTCAGAATAATCTCTAAGTCGTCCAATATGTATGCCAATTAAACTCACATTCAATAAACTTTCTGAATACGAAAATACCGAACTTCCACTATCACCACTACAAGTTATCTGAAAAGAATCTTTGCCATAAAGAATATAATTCTTTCTAATAAGACCTTTATTGTTTGTAACAATAGTATTTAATCCTATTACATATCCACAAGTAACATGTGTTCTCTGACCGGACTTACATATATGAGCACCATGACTCGTTATAACTTTATTATCTATAACATTCAATTCATTATAAATAACAGAGTCTGTATTTCTTATTTGCTTTGATATTTCACTTATACCTATCATCTTGATCAAACCAAAATCGTATTTGAATACATTATCAGATTCTATCATATTTCCAATAAAAGTGCGAGTGGCCAAATTGTCCCATGGAAAATGTTCAAAATATTTAAATGATTCTTTTTCATCTTTTTTATAACAATGTCCAGCAGTTACAATATAATTTTGGCTTTCATTATTTCTTGCCCAAAAACCCAACGAACATTTGCCATCAGTTTCGTTATTATATATACCCTCTCCATATAAGATCTTATAATTTATCAGATTTCTTTTTGACATTTGAGTTTGTGGTGTTTTGCATCTAGGATGTGGGGTAGTAGCATGGGGTATAATAAACTTTGGTTTAAATTTTAAAGTGGATCTTATAAATGGACGAAGTGACAAATTTCCTGGATAATGTATTGCAACATTATTATACCTCATATCAATATATACTTGAATACCAGCTGGTTTATATTCTTTAATTAGATCAAATATTTTCGCAAAGTGGGATTTTAAGGTAACCATAGAATTGTTTGCAGGTGTAAAGAATATGAAATTTCTAAAGTCATTTTGATCTATTTTCGACAACCTTTGTATGATAGAAATTTTGGAATCGTCCACGGTATTGACATATACTTTTTTCGTCTTTACGTCTATATATGTTCCTCCAAAACTTGATTCATAAGTTTTTAATGATTGTTGGAGCGTATTATCCAATTCGGACAATTTCTTTTCAATAGCCAAATAATCGTTTAAAACGTTATCTTCTACGTCCCATAATACTGCCAGTGCTTCTTTCGCATTGATTAGATAATGTTTGCTTAATGTAAAAATTAATAATAAATTTAACAAAAAGTAAATATTTCTCATTACTATATTATGCTATGGAAAATTAATAAGAAAATAAGCAAGTGACTCTTAATATAAGAAAGTTAACGAGTCCAATCAATTCAAGATATTCTTATATCGAATGCTTTTTATTATAAAATTCACAATTGAGGCTTATAAAATCTTTCTTGTAGTACGTAGTTAATCAGAATGTCGACGAATTCAAACTTTGAATTTTTCTTGCTGTTTGCAAAATTTTGTGGTGGATTTTGCAAACCATTAAAAAAAACTTGATTGTCCGACGATTCCGGTTTCTTTATGTAATTATGTATAAAG